AATCATAAGTCCTACCACAAAACGGGTAGGTTTTGAAGTTTTTGTAAGTTTCAACTTTTTGACCCAACAGACAAACTTTTCGACTTTGTTCGACTCAGTTCATTTATGTTTTATTTGAATATTTCTGAAGCTACAGAGCAAACAGTTTTTCTATCAATGGATTGTGTTTCCCGCGGGTTGCCTTTGAATTTTATGTAAGTTTCAACTTTTCGACCCAACCGAAAAACTGTTCGACTTTGTTCGACCCGGTTCATACATATTTCGACTTTCTTGACCAAATTTTTACAACCGACATTCTTTAAAAGTTAGTTTTTGGACCCCGCATCGATATGTTTCGACTTTATAGCAAAAATGGGTATGTCTCTACTTTTCTCGACCTATGTTTTGACTGTGGTTGATCCATGTTTTGACTTTTTTGTCTCTCTCGACTATCAAATCAAATTAGTTCAATTTCAGTTAATTTTTTCTGATGATGAATGAATTAAAAATAAACTCTGAAAAAAATATGTAAAACTCGAATGTTTTGCATCGAAAACTAAATGTTACAAATTGAAGCTTTCAGTTTGCTTTTTCTTAACAAATGTGAACTGAAACTGTTGATTTGAAATTTGATATTTTTAGAATTTTTGACAAAAAATTTCCTTTTTTATGCCGCAGGAACTCTTAAATTAAAAAAAATAAAAGCTCCCTCTGAAAATTTTAAAATTGCGGATCTCTTCAAAAAAATTGTTGCTCATTGCAACTTCCTGGCGGAGGTTTTTCTTAGCCGATTTTTTTGCTCTGTTTTTAAGTTAAAAATTGATTAAAATCTTTACAAAAACCATATTCCGATAAAATCAGGTTGTGCTTGACCTGTGCTTTGACTGTGCTCGACGTATGCGTATGCTTTGACTCTTTTGACCAAAGTTGGGTATGTTTTGACTCTGCTCGAATATGTTTCAACTTTTTCGACAGTGACCAAGTGTGTTTTGGTTTCGAGGGGACCTTTGGAAAAAATTAGGTTGGGTGGGCTAAGACAATTATAATAACTAACGGGGGAGGTGGAGGGGGAGGGGAGGGGTGTCTCGACGGCAAGTGATGAATTGGCTACACTTGATATTACTTTTAATAAATGCTTTATTTTTTTGGCCTAATGACTTTGTGTTCTTAAGATGTTTATTTTTCATGAAGGCTGACAGATTTGAGGTATTTAGCCAATATCTAGTTTTGCTAGTATCAATAACTCTTTTTAATTTCATTTTATGTGATACATGGTTACGATCTCCTTCAATCATTACGAGGCCGAGCTTCGCATTCTCTGCATTGTAAGCGGAATCCGCAACAGGCCAAAATCAATTGAAAAATCAATTGAAAAATTTGCCAGCATTTCTTTTTGCGTAACTGAAGAGTACTTTTCTAAACTTGTATCAAATCAATTTGAACTGAACTTAAAAACAAATCATAAGTCCTACCACAAAACGGGTAGGTTTTGAAGTTTTTGTAAGTTTCAACTTTTTGACCCAACAGACAAACTTTTCGACTTTGTTCGACTCAGTTCATTTATGTTTTATTTGAATATTTCTGAAGCTACAGAGCAAACAGTTTTTCTATCAATGGATTGTGTTTCCCGCGGGTTGCCTTTGAAATTTATGTAAGTTTCAACTTTTCGACCCAACCGAAAAACTGTTCGACTTTGTTCGACCCGGTTCATACATATTTCGACTTTCTTGACCAAATTTCTACAACCGACATTCTTTAAAAGTTAGTTTTTGGACCCCGCATTGATATGTTTCGACTTTATAGCAAAAATGGGTATATCTCTACTTTTCTCGACCTATGTTTTGACAGTGGTTGATCCATGTTTTGACTTTTTTGTCTCTCTCGACTATCAAATAAAATTAGTTCAATTTCAGTTAATTTTTTCTGATGATGAATGAATTAAAAATAAACTCTGAAAAAAATATGTAAAACTCGAATGTTTTGCATCAAAAACTAAATGTTACAAATTGAACCTTTCAGTTTGCTTTTTCTTAACAAATGTGAACTGAAACTGTTGATTTGAAATTTGATATTTTTAGAATTTTTGACAAAAAATTTCCTTTTTTATGCCGCAGGAACTCTTAAATTAAAAAAATAAAAGCTCCCTCTGAAAATTTTAAAATTAGGGATCTTTTCAAAAAAATTGTTGCTCATTGCAACTTCCTGGCGGAGGTTTTTCTTAGCCGATTTTTTTGCTCTGTTTCTAAGTTAAAAATTGATTAAAATCTTTACAAAAACCATATTCCGATAAAATCAGGTTGTGCTTGACCTGTGCTTTGACTGTGCTCGACGTATGCGTATGCTTTGACTCTTTTGACCAAAGTTGGGTATGTTTTGACTCTGCTCGAACATGTTTCAACTTTTTCGACAGTGACCAAGTGTGTTTTGGTTTCGAGGGGACCTTTGAAAAAAATTAGGTTGGGTGGGCTAAGACAATTATAATAACTAACGGGGGAGGTGGAGGGGGAGGGGAGGGGTGTCTCGACGGCAAGTGATGAATTGGCTACACTTGATATTACTTTTAATAAATGCTTTATTTTTTTGGCCTAATGACTTTGTGTTCTTAAGATGTTTATTTTTCATGAAGGCTGACAGATTTGAGGTATTTAGCCAATATCTAGTTTTGCTAGTATCAATAACTCTTTTTAATTTCATTTGAACTGTGATATATGGTTTTATGTGATACATGGTTACGATCTCCTTCAATCATTACGAGGCCGAGCTTCGCATTCTCTGCATTGTAAGCGGAATCCGCAACAGGCCAAATCAGATTTGTCGCGGAATCCGCATCATTGCTACTTTTCTTTGATCTTCTGTGCTTTTTTGGATTCCACAAACAAATACCTAAATCATTGTACCGCTCAAAATCGCTCCAAAAAGAGGCGAATTCTCGGAATCCGCAGCTGTATTTGCGAAATCCAGAACAGTTTGTGGAGTCCACAAACAAATGATAAAACATTTGTATCGTTAAATTGAGCTGTTGCGGAATCCGCAACTGTAAGTGGAATCAGTCAATTGTAAGTGGAATCCGCAAATTGTAAGTGAAATCCGCTATTTGTTTGCGGATTCCATTTACATATATGTTTATATGTTGTAACGTTTTAATTTATATCTTTTATTTACTAGGTGTTCACTAACAGGTTCAATCTCAGCTACGATGATCAGCTACCAGTCTCAATTCCTGTCACCAACTTCGATCTCAATTCCTGTAACCCAACTTCGATCCCAATTCCTAGCCTAACTTCAATCCCGATTCTTGTCACCAATTTCGATCTCAATTCCTGTAGCCCAACTTCGATACCGATTCCTGTAACCAAACTTTGATCCCAATTCCTGTAACCCAATTTCAATCAAGATTTCTGTAACCAAACTTTGATCCCAATTCCTGTAACCCAACTTCGATCCCAGTTCCTGCCATCAATCTCAACTCAAAGTTAACTGCAAAGTTAACAAATTGAACAAACTTATGAAGTAAACTCGCATCTAAATTAATGAATTCATTTCAATCAGTTAATTCAATTAAAATATAAATACTTTAGCTAAGCCTTTTTGGAGTGTTTTCAAATTGCGAGCATTTAGTTTGATATGGCAAAGTTTTCGAAAACATATTTTTGTTTTTGCATTCAACGTTAATTTGAGCTGTAGTTTTTCAAGTTTTTTTTTTTTTTATCAAAAACGGATTTACTCAAATTAGATTCTCTGGATAGATAATTTACTTTCTATGAGCAAATTACCCCAAATTGATAGCTTGCTTTTTATGAGCAACTTTGACGGACCGGCATATTTTTCAGACTGCATACACTAAAAAGAATACGGCAAATTACGGTTAACTTAAAGAGCTCAAATAACAACAAACAGTCATAACAAAACAGTCATGACAACAAACAGTATAAACAGTTCAAGTTGTTCATTCCAAGTCATAAAAAAATCCTGGGTGGACTCGGCCATATTATGTCTAACTTCTTTTCGGTAGTTATCCTTGACGGCATATCTACCACGGCATGCATTTTTATGGCATCGGATTGTGCTCATGCATAAGGAGATCTCTGTTTTCGTTGAACTTGAGAGATTTGATCAGAGTTTCTAGCTTACATTCGTTTTTTGACAAACCAAAATGAAAAATTTGACATCCGCATAGTTAACCAATGTTGTAAGATCCGTTTGTGGATTCCGCTGACAAATGGATAAGTCTTTTTGCGTTCAAATTGCGCGTTCCTATTGGTAATAAATCAAATACTCCACCTCTAGCTTTTAATTGTTCATATGCAAGTTCAGTAATAAACAAAAATGCGGAATCCACTTACTTTTGCGGACTCCACTTACATTTTGCGGATTCCACTTACATTTTGCGGAATCCATTTACAGTTGCGGAATCCAGAACAGCTAGCTATATTTGCTTGTTGCGGAATTCCCAACAAAACAAATGTGCCAACAAAATTTACGTTACATTGTATGCGGAATCCACTGAAATTTTGTTTGTGGAATCCACTTACATTTTGGAACATATTTTAAGACTTGTCTCTGGAATCCAGGAACATACAGACACAAAATTCTGCTCCTACCCAGTGCACAGTTTGGCCTCGTAATGTTATGTTTTGAAAAAATGGGATGGTTCTCCTATGTCCTCACATAATCAATTTCTATTTTGAAAAAAAAAATTTCAATGTTTGAATTGTTACAATAAAATTATGAAATACTGAGCTTGCTAGCCGAGAATGAAAATTCTTTTCCAAAAAAAAATAAAATATGCAGTTAAGGGATGCAGCGGCAGAAAAAGAGCCAAAACTGAATATCAAAGTAGACCTGTTCTCGAACCATTATTCTTCTATGGAGCCTCAAACATCTTTTGGAATCAGTCAGATGTGACATTACGAGATAATAATAATAAATTCGTTTACGAATCAGTCACATTACAGAAATTATTTGTTTTAAATGCACAATTTAGGTTGCGCTGAGTCGAATGGTTACCGATGCAGATTGCATCATTTGCTCTTTAGTACACTCTCGGCGGCCGTGTTCAGCTGTCCAACCCTATCCGAGTTGCGCTTGGCGTGTGCGGTGGTGGTTCCGATCTGCTTATTCTGTCGGTCTATCTCTGCACTCATTGCATTCGCCTGTGCCTTCAACTCCTGGATGTTCGCGTCTATCGCTCTATAACGACACAGTTCGTGAATAAGTTGCACAGTAGCTCCATCCGATAATCAAGTAACAATCGTAACAATAGTAAAAGTTCATCCGGTAATATAATAGTTTAATAAAGTAATTTAAAAATATCAGTCCGAAATGTACAAAAGTCACTATGAATGACACTTTTAGTAAATTTAGTACCGCATGGGAGATGTCCGTTGGATCTACAGATGCATTTTAAACAGGGGAGCGGCCAATAGCATGCGTGCCGTTAAACATGCGACTATATGAGTAATTATATGGTTCGACCTATGTTAACATGGAATACATATGGCTCGACGTATGAGTACCATGAAAACACATATGTTGCCACTTAGGGCATGGAAACATATATGGCGCGACGTATGTTTACCATTGAAACATATATGGCACGACGTATGGTTACTATGGAAACATATAAGGCACGACGTATGCTTACCATTGAATCATATATGGCGCGACGTATAGTTACCCTTGAAACATATATTGCGCGTTATATGTTAACCATCGGGAAACATAGATGATGCCACATATGGTGACCATGGAAATATATGGCACGACGTATAGTTGCCATTGAAACACATATCGCGCGACATGTATTAACCATCGGGAAAAATAGATGATGCCACATATGGTTACCATGGAAATATATATGGCACGACGTATGGTTACCATTGAAACATATATTGCGCGACTTATGGTTACCATTGAAACATATATCGCGCGACATATGTTAACCATGGAAACATAGATGATGCAACATATGGTTACCATGGAAATATATGGCACGACGTATAGTTACCATTGAAACATATATGGCGCGACATATGGTTACCATGGAAATATATATGGCACGACGTATGGTTACCATTGAAACATATATGGCGCGAGATATGGTTACCATTGAAACATATGGGAAAAACAGATGATGCAACATATGGTTACCATGGAAATATATATGGCACGACGTATTGGGAAAAATAGATGATGCAACATATGGTTACCATGGAAATATATATGGCACGACGTATGGTTACCATTGAAACATATATGGCGCGAGATGGTAACCACATATGGAAACACATATGGTTACCATGGAAATATATATGCAAAACATATTGGGAAAAATAGATGATGCAACATATGGTTACCATGGAAATATATATGGCACGACGTATGGTTACCATTGAAACATATATGGCGCGAGATATGGTTACCATTGAAACATATATCGCGCGACGTATGTTAACCATGGAAACATAGATGATGCAACATATGGTTACCGTGGAAATATATATGGCACGACGTCTGGTTACCATGGAAACATATACCATGGAAACATATATGGCACGACGTATGGTTATCATGGAAACATATACCATGGAAACGTAAATGGCACGACGTATGGTTACCATGGAAACATATACAATGGAAACATATATGGCACGACGTATGTTTACCATTGAATCATATATGGTGGGACGTATAGTTACCATGGAAACATATATGGCGCGACAAATGGTTACCCTTGAAACATATACCGCGCGACATATGTTAACCATCGGGAAACATAGATGATGCCACATATGGTTACCATGGAAATATATGGCACGACGTATAGTCACCATTGAAACATATATGGCGCGACATATGGTTACCATTGAAACACATATCGCGCGACATATATTAACCATTGGGAAAAATAGATGATGCAACATATGGTTACCATGGAAATATATATGGCACGACGTATGGTTACCATTGAAACATATATGGCGCGAGATATGGTTACCATTGAAACATATATCGCGCGACGTATGTTAACCATGGAAACATAGATGATGCAACATATGGTTACCGTGGAAACATATATGGCATGACGTATGGTTATCATGGAAACATATACTATGGAAACATATATGGCATGACGTCTGGTTATCATGGAAACATATACTATGGAAACATATATGGCATGACGTCTGGTTATCATGGAAACATATACTATGGAAACATATATGGCATGACGTCTGGTTATCATGGAAACATATACCATGGAAACATATATGGCACGACGTATGGTTACCATGGAAACATATATGGCACGACGTATGATTACCATCGAAGCATACATGGAGCGACTTATGGTTACCATGGAAAGAAACTGAGAAATCAAACAAAAATGTTCTCGTTGGCTTCCAAAAACTGCTCTGAGAGAGTTCAAAGATGTTGGCAGTAGAAATTGTTTGACCGCCATTCAGAGCAAAAAAATTAGGCATGGTAAAAAATTTGTATGGTGCAACGTATGATTTATTTAAATGGTGAAAAAAATCAAGTATTTTTAACGCATCTTTTGCTCTGAGAATAAATTCTGTGCTTCTTTTTTTGTCTATTAACCTGTGTTCTCATTGTTTTTTTTCTCAAAATTCATTTGTATGGAAACATCGCTTCCATAGATTGCATCATATATCTTGCGAAGTATTATTTGGATGGTGAGTTTTTTTCATAGTTTACCAACAACTTCCATTATGGGAAAAAAAAATTTTTATACTGATTTAATCAGTGAAGCAGCTGTTGAAACTGCGAAAAATCAAAATTGAGCGTGAAGAAATTTTAAGACTTTTTTTTCCTAAAAAAAATCAGCAATACTTATATAAGAGTCTTCACTACGTTCATTACTCATTATAGTGGGAATGGGTGGGGGTTTAAGTGCTATAGTTTACATGTGTGAACAGTTAGTAGTTCATATTCTGAGCTTCACCTGTCGTATTCGGCCATCTCCCGCTCCCTCTCGTCCACGTAGTGGCGCTGACTCAGAGGGGTGGTGGACCTCGCATCTTTCTTAAATCATCATCAATCTCGTCAAATTAGATCACACTTCAATTGCAAAAAATATCCAGGACAAGCACGAACAGACGATTGCTGGGCAAATGGCATAGAAAAATTTTTGAGCTTTTTTGAGCGTGCTGCGCTTTTTTGTGCGCTTTTTGAGCGTGGTTCGCTTTTTATGCGCTCAAATTTGGGAATAAAAGTTTCGAGCTTTTGCAAGATAGTCGTCTCTTTCCTTTCAATAATCAATGATAAAATCGGAAAAAATCGGAAAAAAATATACAATTTTTGTAAAACATTTCTACTTTTTAGGCCGCTTTTTTCGAATTTGAAAATAAATCATTGCTTCGAAAGTCTTAAGTGAGGCTTCGGAAAATTATTTGAACTTCATTTTACATTTATTCGAGACATTCGGATGATTTTTTGTGGTACCCTATTTTGCGTGGAAAAAATTTTCAAACTAAAAAAACGAAGCCACACCCGAAGACAAATTCCTCCCCACTTTCAGTAGTCGGAACTGTAAAATTTCATTTTGATCAAAAAAGAGGGCACCTTTTTGCCTTTTTTGTGCTTTTTCTTGCCGATGTCCTCAGATGCAGAATTGGCTGAAGATTCGCCACTTTTCTTCCGGTAGTTGTCTCTGTATTTGTCACCCTTCTGGCGTTTGATCTTCTGGCCACACCCACAACAGCCGGCCTTCAGGTCGTCCAAGTCCCTCTCGGCCGAGCTGAGGTCCTTGTCCATCGAGTCCAGACGACGGTTGATGTCATCTAACTTCTCGCCTTGTTCGCCCAGATTCTGAAGGGTTTTATGACCGACTGCTTTCGTTTTTTCAGTTTGATTGCTGCAGAAACAAAACGAGTTTCTTTTCAAGAGCAATGGCATCATAATTGAAATCTTTCATCAACTTACTGCCCATACAGGGCTGGATGAGAGTGATGGGTTTCCTCCGGGATTCGATCCCCTCACCACCCACTAACAGATCCCCAACCATCCTCTTTCGTACTATTTTACCTCTTCTATTTTTGGTCGACCAGCCCATTTTTTTTTCTTTTGGCGGCTTCGCAGTCGGTATTTACTACAATAGAGGGGCGGGGCGTTAAAAAATGCAAAAAATTTTTGTCAAGTTTTTCCCAAAAGTGATTTAAATGTTGTTATTGGCCAAGTTTTTTCTTCCAAATTCACATGTCGCGCAGAGTTTTTAGCAAAATAGGTTTTTATGGTTTTTTGGGAATGTATATTTGATCGATCTAAAAAAGTCGACAAAACTTCTTTTTTTTTGAAGAGGATTTTTTTTGAAAATTCTCTTCAAAAAAAGTTTTTTTTGAAAATCCAAAACCCCCTTTTGAATTTTTTTTTTGAAAATCCAAAACCCCCTTTTTGAAAATCCAATACCCCTTTCGCTTACGGTTGATTCGTTCAGTCAATTTTACCTCAAACAAAGATCACGTGAGTGCACTTGAGATATCATGTTGAAACCCTTTCAATTGTGATTCAGTGTCAAGAAAAAATGAGCTCGGTAACTCAGTTCCGCTTTTTGGCTTCTCAGACTCAGTAAGAAGCGGATGATTTCTCCTCTTTTCTATAATGAACTCTTTGAAGCTCTACAATATAAATAGTTAACAAAAAGCCTTTAAAATATATTAAAATAAGCTGAATGATCGGCAGCAGGCAGTAGAATGCTGAGAGGGGCGTCCGGCGGTGCGACACCCTCCCCCTCAATTCTGGCTATCGCATTTTTCTAAAGGGTCCCCCCTCTGGTTTACTTTTACGAGATCCATTTTGGCTGGCCAACATCAAAAATTTTCTAAGAGCGCGTTTGGCGCCAATATAACTAAATTTGAGGGGGAAGCGCACGCCGAAAAAATCTTAGCCTGTTTTTTCAAAAATTTCAAATAGAGAGCTCGGAAAATCAAATTGGTCGACCTAAAAACAAAGTTTTCACTTTTTTCGAAAAACCGTGACCCCCTCCCTCAGAAAAAGTTCTGCAGCAGGTATATCCTTTTTGAAATAAAACACTAAAAAGTTTTCTGATAAAACTTTTAAAATATTTTAGATGCTTAAAGTTTTCTGATAAAACTTTTTTAAATATTGTAGATGCTTTTTGTTGTAATATTAATGTGGTCGGAAAATTCTGTGCTACTTGCACAGCAACACGCTACTTCTCAGTTTATACTCATCATAATCGTAATTTCTATAGGCTTTCGTTGTAATCATAAAACTGAATTTTGATGTAAAAACATAGCTTCAAATTTGGTAATTAGCTATTCGAATACCGACTGCTAGCAATAAGAACGACTCACTGCATGCGACGATACGCCTCCAAGTCCTCGTCCTGGAGTCTGTTGATCTCAGCCTGAGTATCCATTGCATTCATCTCCCCCTTATTGTTCTTCCTCCCCCTCTTATCTCCCTCTCCCTCTCCCTTTAGCTCCTTATGATGTTCTCCCCCAGCGTTGCTGCCAGATGGCATAGATTTGGCGTCTCTTCTCTGGTCGTTGTCGTAGCTGCCCCCTGGCATCCGACAACCCGGAACTTTTTAGACGAACCTCCGAGTCTTGTTCTGGTTGAATTCAATTAACCTGTTGTCATGACTGGTTAAAAAAAACTTGTATTAAATTATTACTGAAATGAAAATGTCAACTTGAATATCAGAACAGTGAAAACAACATGAAGGACAAAATCGGTAGTGTTTTTGTGTTTTTAAATGATTTGACAACGAGCTAAATTTCGCACTTCTAGTAGTAATAGTTTTCGATAGCGTTTAGTTTTGAATTTTTTCTTGGTAGTTTGGTTTCATTTTCTCATCAGAAGTGATTCTTGACTTAATTTCTCATGAAGAGCGACTTCTACTATGTTCCAATGAAACAGGTTGATACTAATTAAACCTCCACAAAAGGTCATTATTTTTGGTGCAGTAGTCATTTGTTAATAAAATATAACCATGATGGCAGTGGCGTGCGCAGAAATTTTTCGGGGGGGGGGGGGGGGGCAGTTTTCGAAAAATTTTGAAATTTTGCCGACTTTGTTTTAAGTTGAACAATCTGATTTTACGAGTTCTCCCAAAGTAGCATAAGCACCTTATAAAATTTTAAAAAAACAGGCCAAAAAAGGCGTTTTTAGGCTCTTTTTGGAAAATTTTGACCTAAAAATGTGCTTTTTTCGGCGCGCGCTCCCCCCTCAAAATTAGTCATTTTGGCGCCAAAGGTTGTTTAGCGAAAAATGGATGTCATAACATTATACCAAAGGGGGGACCCTTTGGAAAAATTTGGTAACCAGAATTGGGGGGGGGGGCTTCACCCCCTTCTTGGCACGCTCTTGCATGATGGGGAGTTCTCTACCCAACCTTTTCGCAAAAAAATAATCATAAAGGGTAGCATTGGTTTCTCATCAAGTGTTGCTCTTGCCTTGACTTGAAGGTACTCAACTATATCGTGTGGCAAAACAATAAGGGGCAAAAAGTTTTCTAAGGGCGATGAATTCACGAAATGACCGAAGCTACCTAGTTGATATGTGTTGTTTTTGATCAAAATTTTGGCGTTTTTCTTGATTAAGATTAAAACCATTTATCCACGGGGGAAAGGACCAACACAAGAGCTGTACAGCTAATCACGGCAAACCGCTGTTATTTTTTTATGTTTTTAAATGGTTTTTTTAAATGGTTGTTTAAACTGGAGATGTTTTACGAATTGATGGCAGTTATTTGAGCATGAGTTTTTGATTAACGCCAACGGAAATCTTAATGGCAACGGACTTGCAATCATACTTATTGCAATCATACTTAAAAAGGTCACGGAATTCTAACAAATTATTTTCCAAAAAAGCAGTAGGATACTAGTTAGACCTGCACTAAAGGTTACTTTTAGTGTATTTGTTACTATTTTTTAAAATATATGTAAGAATGGAGTTCTGTACAAACCCTTCTCCCAAAAAAATTAGTGGGTGCCATAGATTTGCCATCAAGCTTTGGCTGAAAGTTTTCAGACATATCATGTGGCAAAACAATTGGAAGTCAAAAATTTAACGGGCAAACAATTAACAAATGGACCAAATATATCCAGTTGATAGATGTCGTTTTTGTTACACTATTTGAAAAATTTGAAATTCTTCAAACTTTTTCCGTTTTTTCAAATGAAGATGTTCTATGTGATTGCCCCATCTTTGAACATGAGTGTTTGAAATTTTTTTGTTCAGAAGTTAGTTTTTTGATCTGACATAAAAAAAAGGTTATAGTGTATAATATTGCATATCAGTTCAAGTCGTTAGCAGTTTTTTAAGAACTTTTTTTGGATAAAATGCGATTTCTACTAAGTTCCAACGAAAAAACTAGATATGGTTACACTTGCACTAAAGGTCATCACTTTTACTGTAGTATTCATTCTTTAATAAAAAATATTAAAGAGGCGAGTTCTCTACTCGCCCTTCTCTCAATAAAAATTATAAAGAGTTTGATAAAAGGTACTCTCACAAATCATAAGGCAAAAAAATTATTTGGCAAAAGGACTCTAGGGTAAAAAAATTGACGAAATTATTGAAGCGCCCTAGAAATGTATTTCATTTTTTTGCGCACGCCAAAAGTTTCGAGGTTCTTCCAGATAAATTTTCTCTTTTTTGAAAGTGGATGATGTTTTATGATGTGATAGCTGATCTTTAGAATGAGTTTTTGACGGTTTCTGTTCGAAAAGCAATTTATTTTAAAATCTGACTTTAAAAAAATAATAGTGTATGGTGTGAAATAGTGCATATCCATTTAAAATGCTATCAGTCTTGTAACTACCTTAATTTTCTTTTTTCGTGCTCATGGTTAAAAATGTAGAATCGTTTCCACAGTTCAGTTTTAGTTTGCAACGTTGAATTTTGTTTGCAATGTTTTTTTTCATCAAAAAAAACAAAGGGCAGGTTAGTCGCGGATTCTGGATGATGTGTTGATAAATCTTAGCGATTCGGGAAGTGATACTATTTTTTTTGTTAAGTGTTGAATTATCTGGAATTTTGTAAGATAACGGAAAAAACGAAAACCATATTCAAAAAGGTCACGATTTGTTAACTACTATGCGACCTCTACTTTGTTCCAATAAAAAACTAGATACTATTTACACCTGCACTAAAGGTCATTACTTTTAGTGGAGTTGAATATTCTAAATCAAACATAATATAAAGGTGAGATATGTACCCTTGGTTATCGCAATACAAAATCATAGAGGGTACCATATATTGTCATCTAGTAATTCCGCTTTTGTTTTGTATTGAATTCTGTACCCATCCTTCTCGCAAAAAAATCTATAAAATATACAAGAGATTTGGCAACAAATAATTCTTCTTACGTTTTCATTTGAAATTCCTCTCACAAAGCCTAAAGTAAGAAACTAACTTGCAAAATTTATCTTGGACCATAGACTTAACGAAATGACAGGCGACTTAGTTGATAAATGTCGTTTTGGATCAAGTTACCATCCTTTCCCCTAGTTAGACCAAGTTAGGAACTTTCAACCCAGCATAAAACGCCAATAAATTTGCTAAGCCCTGCAAGTAAAATGTTTAATTCTGATTGGCTGAGAACGGCTTTGAGGGAAGGATGTTAACTTGGTCCGCCATTTTTACTCCACATGCCGCAAACTTTCCAGATAAATTTTTCAAGTTTTTTTTTACAAAGGAGGTGTTTTACGATGCGATAACAATTCTCTGAGTATGAGTTTTTGACCGCTTTTTTTTCAAAATGTTCTTTTTCAATTCTAATTGTGTTTTACAAAAAATTTTAATTTTTTCAGTGTGAAATTTTGCACATCAGTTCAATTCCATATCAGTTTTTTTTTAAACCTAAAATTAAATAGCAGTGCATTTTTCACTCTTTTGCTCACAGTTGTTGATATAGGATTGTTTCCATATGTCAGTTCTAGTTCGCGACGTTAAATTCTGTCGGCAGCACTTTTTATTCTGATTTTCGTCCGAATAACAAAAGTCTGATTCCATCAGTCGCCGTTTTTGAAGGTCATGTTGTTAGAGTTTGATCGTACTTTTTGACTGGAATTATAAATAAAATGGAAAAACTTATTCATGTTTTAAATTATTTTGATTAACTATGAAACGTTAAAAATTCACACAGAAAGATCAACGAAATGCAAAAAAAAAATCTTTTTTTTCTAATTCACTTTTTTCACCTTCTATTGTGATAAAATTTGGAACGCTGACTACCTAAGCAATGGCAAACATTTTCAGTCCTCAATTTTTTTTTTCGTAAAAACATCCATTACATCATAAGTTTGATGCTCAATGGAACTGAGTGGGGGAAAACATATTGTCGCGTTCTCTATGTGTTCGTGTTTGTTCAGATCTTCAAAAGAAATGACAAATGAAAAAACTTTATTTTTCATTCTGCCTGTTTTCGTTTTTTTATTAACCATTTTTTGGCAGAGCTCTTCAAACCATCTGAAAAAATGCTTTGAGCTCAAATTTTTAAAGGTAATTTATCTGCGACCGTTTTTTGTAAAATTTTCTAGCCTTTAAATAGTTCCTTGTGGAAAAATTTATGTTCCATGTAATCGGTTACTAAAGAGAAAGATACGAGAAGATTTAACAAAAACAAAATGTAGGGAAATCTGAAATTTTGACATAATTTCTAAAAGTGCCTAGCCCTTTTTTCAGACGTGTTAATCCGCAGCAACTCAGGTGCCATGCAAAATCAATTTGAAATTTTAATGGCTTCTTTTTTTGAAAAACTACTGTAGATAATTTAGAGGATTGTCGTAACTTTCAAGGTCTTGCCTTAAAACAATCAGTCTTGTTCTTTCTATACAACAGATCGAATTACAAAAGGTCAAATCTCACAGTTCTAGTTACGGTTTTCATTTGGTGTTTTTTTATGTTAAGATATTTAAATTGTAAAATGATTTTCTGGCTCACAAGGAATGTAGCATGCAAAATGTAGTCAATTTACTGAATAGTAAGACCTAACAAGACTGCTCGTATCAGGGCGAAGCCCTGAATGTTCGGACTGCCTTTTGAAGTTTATGGAGCAGTAATAACAAAAAAAATTAAAGGTAATAAAAAAAATGAAAATTTTTTTCTAAAATTTGAACTATTTTTATGAAAAACATCCCCCACGCGCCATATAAAGCACAAAAGGATAGAGTTCGCTCCTTGTAACAAATCAATTATGGCAAATAAGCTTCTTTCAAACAATTTGGAACGATTTCTAAGACGGATTAAATCTCCGCTTGCGCGTTAATAGCGCGAAATATATCGCGCGTTAATTGTCCCAAATTGGCCAAAATGGCAATCCTTAAACCCCTATAACTTTACAAAAAATGATCACAGGCAATTTTTTTAAATGAAGCTCAGGACAACAATACTTTTTGAATGATATGAAAAAATTCCGTCAAAAATGGCTAGTTAAAAAGTCGAAATTTGTCTGAAGAAAAAAAACCCACCCGAGCACAAATATTCCGTTACTTTCGTATCAAAAGTCGGAACGATTAGATAGTTTCGTCTTTAGCAGCTATACCAATGTAGCTTACTATTTGA